CATTTTCAAAACATCCACTTTCCAACCTTTTCCTTTTGTCATGTTACTGATCCATATCAACTCTGCCTCCCAAGGTTGAGGTTCATGATATATGTTAAACCATTGAAGTACTTTCTTCAATATGTGTCTTGTCCCTAAACAGCAGAAAAACAGATGATTCATCGTCTCCTCTTCGGTGTGGCATAACCTACATGCGCTGTCTTTAATCATACCAAAACGATTTAACCTATCCTTGGTTGCAAGTTTCCCGTGACATGCTTGCCATAAACAAAACACTGCTCGCGGTCGGCTCTTATTGGATCTTATGAAGTTTCTCCAAACAACCCTTGTGCCATCATCAATCATTACTTTGTAAAACACCGACGCCTTAAACTTATGAGTGGTTAGAAGTTGATCCCATTCATTCCGTATTAAATCCATGATATCTCTTTGTTTCAAAATACCGTGCATGATCCAAGAGTTGTGATTTTTGGTAGCATAATTCATCACGTGGTTCCCCTTTAGGTAGTGAATATAGATCCATTTCACCCAAAGAGTATCAATTTTATTGCACTGTTTCCATAAACACTTCAAAAGTAATACATTGTTCCAAATCTGCAGATTTATCAGGTTCGGCCCACCCTGCGCTGCAGGGCAGCAAGTGCGTTTCCATACCACAGGGCACTTTCTGCTCACCGTATCCTTACCGGTCCAGATGAAACTGCGACATATGGAGTTAATTTTCCTGATCACAGATTTGGGCAAGGGAATACAGTGCAGCCAGTACTGAACCATTGCAGCAACTATACTTTTCACCAATTGAATTATTTTGGCATAACTTATAAGAAGATTAGATGATAAATTAAACTTTATTCATGTAGAAATTAGACTTTATACATTAGTCATCTTATTTCTAATTTTTCATGTAGAAATTATAAACTGTAGTTTAAACTTTAAAGTCATGGTTGTTGTTTTATTTTATGAGTAGATTCTAAAGGAAAGTTTGTTTCTTAAAAACAAGTTAAGTATACATTATATTATGATTGTTATAGTTCTATTGAGATCATGAATAAATTATACATGCAATTTTTACCTCCTTTCAATATAAGTCAGTAAAAGTAGGTTCTTTGATGCTTTTAGATTTAGCCTAAGATATACTTGTTATAATATTTCTATATCATTGTGATTCACATGGTTTTCAATATAAATTTAAATTTCTCATCTATATTTGGTTTTCAATATAAATATAAATTTCTCATCTAAATATAAATTTTCCATTTGTGTGACTTAAGACCGAATCAACAAGATTTCTAACAACTTCTTCATTGTCATCATTTACTGCCACATGTGGTGTTGTTCCTCTACTTTTGTTGATGTTTATTGAGCTAAAATTTTTATCCGATTCATATTGTTTAACCCTTATGTTATGTTCTAATGCATGCAACATGAACTTTTTGTTTTAAATGAAAATCTTATGTGTATATTTCTAGGTATCTTGTTTAAAGTTCATAGATTTGACAATTTGAACTTGGCATACGTGAGACCAAAGTATATTTTAATTTAGCAATTTTGAACTGTTTTACAGGAAAGCGACATCTTCTGAAACACCATCATCACAAGAAACTTCTTTAGCTCCTAATTTAGTTCAACATAATGTTAGAGGAAAGACTGATATAGCTTGGGCACATTGTACTAAAAGTCATGATGGAAAATCTCTTGTTTGTATCTACTGTCACAAAGCGTTTGGTGGAGGTGGAATTCATAGGGTAAAACAACACTTGGCTGGAGTAGTAGGAAATGTTGAAATTTGTAAGTCAGTTCCTGCAAAAATTCGTTTTTGGATGAACCAATATCTTAATGAGCAGAGCAAGAAAAGAAAAACTCCAGATGTGGCTGAAAGTGAGTCATTTTCTGCAGAGGGAGTGAATTACAAATGAAAATGAACCCACAAATTGGTGCATCTAAAAAAAATGACGCTCGCATTGGTATTTATTTTTTACCCAAAACAACTCTAGGAGCTCAACCTACTTTAAAAAGTGTGATGCAAATTAAAAAAGTGGTAGAAAAGTGTGATCTTGCTATTGCAAAGTGGTTTATTGATGCATATATTCCTTTCAATGCTGCAAATTTGCCTTATTTTCAACTAGCAGTTGATGCTCTTTGTTGCATGGGTACTGGATACAAAGTTCCTACTATGCATGCTCTTCGTGGTAATTTGTTAAATAAGTGGATTAATGACGTGAAGATATAGATAGAGCAATATCGTTCTATTTTGAAGGATACAGGTTGTACTCTTATGGAAGATGGGTGGACTGGTTGTTGTAGAAGAACTCTTATCAACTTTTTAGTTTATTGTCCCAAAGGAACTGTTTTCATAAAGTCTGTTGATACCTCTGGTGCTTCTAAAACTGCAGACACATTGTTTAAGCTTTTCAAGGAAGTAGTGTTGTATGTTGGCCCATAAAATGTTGTTCAAATCGTTACAGATAATGCTGCAAATTATGTTACTGCTGGAAAATTGTTGAAAAAGGAGTTTCCTAAGTTGTACTGGTCTCCTTATGCAGCACACTGTATTAATTTGATGTTGCAAGACAGGGAAGATTTGTGAATTTTTTTTATTACACTAAGTTATAGACATTGTTCAAACGATCGGTTGTCCCTTAGGTGCCTAAACTAGATTGTAGTTGTTGGATATTGTGGAACATCTCATGTCAAATAGTTATAGGTTGCGACGAAGACTTCTTTGACATTTGACCTTGGAGCAGATGTAGAGAAGGTTGGAAGAACTAGAAGGTCCCATGTTCAATTATTGAAGGCGTTGATTTTGCAGTGTTGGCACTGTAAGAGGAGTAGCTAAGACCAGAACATCTTCAATCATTAGAGGAAGTGGAGTCTCCTCATCGAATTAACAACGTTGGTTGCGCTAGTGGTCATTGTAGCGGAGTTGCGTGTGGTATTTGAGTGAACGACTTTCGACGCTACCATGATAAAAGGAATTGATCAGTGTTATGTTCAAGGAAGAGATCAATGATCTAAAAGAGAAAAGACCGATGATCTGGATTTGTGGTAAAGAGATGGTGGTTTTTTATGGAAACTCGTGGGACACAAGATGTTAATTCCCATAGAAGGCGCCACTATTCTGCGCTGAAACTAGAAATAGGTGGAGATTAGATAAAACAATGTTCTTATGAGGTGGTGGGAGTTTCTGGTACGATAGAGCGGAGGTGGACCTGCAATGTTAGCACTCAAATAATAAAATCAGTGAATGAGTGAGAAAGTAATTTAGGTGTGTGAATGAAAGAATATTTAAAATGATGTATGTTGTGCTTTATATAGTGTGGACAGTTAAAATCGACTCTTGAGATTGGAGGCCTTATGCGAGTTGCCGTCCGATCAAAATCCAACAAATAGAAATATGTTGGAGGTCAGAATCATGTGTCATCAACATATGCGATATCTCACATGTGACATATGTCTTTTCCTACAATTTTTAATATTAGACATTTTATCGTGAATCTTGCTAGCGGAAAGGCTGAACATTACTTTTTCTGTTTAAATTTTTTATTTGGCGTTCCTTATACGTGAAGTAGTACTGTTATACATGGAAAAAATGTTTGTAATAATTTTGGTTAATAGTGAACCGTCCAACTATGAATTAGAATAAGAACAAGTAGTTGATTGAGTGTGTCGTTTTGTCTGCACCTTCAATCTCACAGGTCGAATGTTTCTTACCTCAAAATTGGTTGAAAAGATCAATTAACAATATTTGTTTTGTAGAAAAAGAAACAACTGTAATGAATTGACCCTGTAGACAATAATAATAATACGAGAGGCTACAAAATTAAATGTTTCGACTTTCCACATCACATATTTGATTTTCCTAGTAAGTTGAAATTGATGATAATAATAATGAATTTACTTGTATGACTCCAAGCATATTCTCAAATATTCCTCACTCTTGGCCAATGAAAAATGAACATTGACTCTAGGAGAGGGGTGTAAATGTATGTTGAAATTCCACGAATGATCTATAAATAATTAAAGCCAACTTTCTTTATAGAAAAATATAGATTACCAAAGTTTACTAATAAAAGAATAAAAACAAAGAAATTATGTTGTATTGAATATTTGTGCATGTAATTTACTGTGGAACTTCAATACAAACAATGCAAGAAACCACTTTTTTTGAGATACAAACATACTACCCACTTCACTCCAAATTATAAATAAAAAAAATTAATTCACACTTATTAAAAAAATCAAAACTTATTAAATATATTTTATTGATAAGGATAATAAAAGTTATCATCATTGCTATAATTTAAACAGAAGTTAAATAATTTTAAAATATTTTTGTGATTTAATGGAATATAAATCAATTATTAGTTGTGAGCATAAAAATATTTAATTTTGACCTTCGAATGTTAAAATAAATCTTTGATTTTAAAATGGAGGGGAATATTACCATATTACGATATTTCAATTGGGTATTTAAATATAGAAAAAGTACTTAGACGAGATAATGGTTTGATTAAAGAAGTAGAACATGAGGATAAGGTAGAGAATAAAATTAGATATCCTGCAAATTGATTTAAGAAGATGCCAAAAGTAAAATAATAGTAATAAATTAAAAAGCAGATAAGGGTAAAATAGAGAAAGTGCATGTTTCCAAAACAATGTTTGTTGTTATTAAATAGAAGCATAAACAGAAACATGTGTCTTCACCTCTCACACTTTCCTCCAAAATTAAAAAAAAAACGCACGCAGCACAATTCCTTTCTAATCTCTGCAACACAACACAACCAACCATGAAATTAAAATCTAAATGAAATGAAAATGAAATTCATAATGAAATTTCACGCTACTCTCACACTTTTTTGATTCACACTCAACTCAACATTACGTGAAACGAAGCTTATATACACCCACAAAACATCGATCTCTGAGCTTCAGATTTCATCGACAAATACTTCACAAAAATTGAATAGATTTTTTTATATTTTAAATTAGGGTTTGTGAGTATGAAGTTGAACGGAGAAATCTCGGACGGAGAAGAAGATGAAGAGAAAATGGTGGTTGGTTACGCCTTAACGTCGAAGAAGAAGAAAAGCTTTCTAAAGCCAAACTTTATTGCCCTCGCTAGGTTTTTCATTCTCGCACTGTTTATCATTCTGCATGCATATTCATTCATCACACTTTTTTTTTTTTTTTTGAAAATTAATTTTAAATCTGTATTTTGTACATTATTATCCTTTTTTCTATCAGTATAGTATATGGAACTCAGAAGCTGTTTTTTCTTTCTTAATTATCTGTTTATTTATCACATTGCTTCTTTTTAATATTTCTTTTTATTTTGACTTATGTAATATATATCTCATATCTTTGAGACTTTGACATTGTTTTTTTTTGTTTTGTTTTGATATAATCTATACCAGAATATTCCACTATATATGCCTTTTGCTTCTGTGTTTGGTTGTCATCGAAGAAAATTGTTTTTTTTTCTTTTTTTACTAAAAGTGAGTTGAATGTAAAATTCATTTGAAACTGATTCTATTCGAACAATATTTAGGGACTAAATTGAAACTATTATTTTTGTGTAAAATCTGTTGATGAACTATTTTACAATTTGCTACTATTTTAGGACCTTCAATACTGATTCTTAAGTGATTACTTGTTTACTGTAGGAATAAGGGGATTTCCTTTGTTGCCATTGATCCAAAGAAGCCGATGCTAGAACAAGGTCCATTTGATGTTGTCTTGCATAAGGTTTGTGGGATTTCTTTCATTGTTTTGTCACTGCCATTGATGTTTAAAAGTCATGCTGTTTGGCATTTGTGCCTGATGGACTTGTTTCTTAAGAACTATTTTGTTTGTGCTATTTGCGTCACATTATCTGACATTCTATTTGTTATTCCCAGTTGCCAGGAAAAGAGTGGCGTGAGATTATTGAGGTTTGTGAACTCTAAATACCTCCACCTCCACCCTCTTTCCGATTGTACTGAAAATCTTGTGTTGTTGTGAATCTTTAATGCACCGCAATGCATGAAATCAATCACATCTGTCAACCCGGGAATTAGTTTGAAACAGTAGTGAATTGTCGTGTAATCTATTTTTTGGATTCTTAAAAGCTTATTATCTTACACATAATTTGCAGAGTTTATGCTCTCCTTGACATGAATCATGATCAGATCGTCATGAATCATGATCAGATAGTTGAATTTAGTCTTTCAATTCAAGTATTCTAAGAAGTGAGGATTTATTCTTGAGATTCATCTAAATAATGTGTAAGCATTGGTGGACTATTGGGAGACAAATAATAATTATATTTTATCTTTTGACCTTCTTTTTCTTTGATACTTAACCATACTTCTGTTACTTGGCATTTTTGCATCTTTATATTAATAAAATATTTCTTCACTATATCAGAATGAGAAACATAATTTCTTGTACAGGGACAAAATATGAAGCAGTGTTGTTAAATAGTGGCACTATAGCATAGCAGAACTCAAACAAATTGATATTGTTCTAAAATACTAGTAGCAGTTCAGTTACAGTTGTGCTATAGCACTACTGCATAGCAGAATGTGAATAAACCGCAATTTTCTGCGATTGACAACTTTTGACATGAAGCCAATCTATTTGTTTAGGTGTTTCCTTTTGATCTCCTTACATTCCTATATCCTTCATATGGTGAATGGCCTTGAATATTGACAAAGGCAAACTTGGTCAATATTGGAAAAAAGGAGATTTCTCTTCGATGCAATATTTTCCATATTTTCTAAAATATTATGGAAAATATATAATTCTTTTGGAATTATTCTTCTGTCAGTATTCTGGCCTTCTTTGTAGCTAAAGAATGAAGTATAAAAACTGGGCAGCACAGAGTCATAAGCTGTTCAGTGTTCATCATGGCGGGGTATGTAGAATGGCCAGCCCCATTTTTGATCTATCGTAAGCAGTCTTCTCTTGTATTTGTGACTTCTTTGTCCTATGACAGCAACTTCAATCGTTGCGCCGAGGCTGTTCAGCTAAAGAGTGGAACTGTCAACAACAAATTTCTTAAAGTACACAGGCTGCATATAATTGTTGTTTATAATCCAATATTGTTAGCCATCAAATCATTAGTGTCTGGTAATCTTATAATATCCAACATTCTGATAGATATAATGATATCAACATGGAAGGAACAAAAAATGAGAGCTTCTGTGTTCTGACCAATGGTTTAGTATTGAAGTATGTGAGAGGTTTCAGGTTAGCATGTCAACAAAAAATTTGACTTTTATAAAAATTTGTCCTTATTTTCTTTTCACATGCCAAAATAAATGTTAGATGATGAATTTACAGCTTCTCTAAATTGGTCATTGTTAAATTTTCTGTTGCGTGTATTTTAAAGTGAAAATATAGCAGTAACGGGTCATTGTCTGAGTGGTGCGTGAATTTTGTATTTGGATGGATGGGGCTGATTTTAAGGATAAATTTGTCTATTTATTTTTGAAGGATTACAGGCATAAACATCCCGAAGTAACCATCCTTGACCCTCCATATGCAATTCAACATTTGCTCAATCGACAATCCATGCTACAATATGTGGCAGAGCTAAATTTATCTGACTGCCATGGTAACCTATTTACTACATTTATTCAATTTACTAAACTAGACTAAAACAGTTAAACACTTACTTGATCTCATAGTTTTGGAGTTTTCTACACGAATCTTTAAGCTAAGCCTGAATTTAGAATCATGTATTTTGTCCAATATTGGCTACTTAAAAAGCTCATGGTTTTGTTATATTTCTGGAATATACATACAAGTATTTTTTTCAAGTTGAGGCCTTTTCAATTGCACTACACTAGGTTTTTGCATTACTCACTGCAATCTGTGTTATTTATCAACTTTTGATTTTTAGGCAAGGTTGGGGTTCCACAACAGTTGGTTATCACTAAAAACCCATCTACTATTCCATATGAAGTCACCAAAGCTGGAATGAAGTTACCATTAGGTATATTTTTATTTATTTAATTTTATCTGAGATCCTTACTTCACTTGAGGAATAGATCTGATAAGTACTTATCTTTCTAGCTTACTTCACTTGAGGAATAGATCTGATAAGTACTTATCTTTCTAGCCATGTACGACTGGCATGCATTTTGTTAATCTCTTCATTGCACCTGATTTATATCTGTCAGATAATCCATTTTGATGATGCTATGTTTTATTCTATCATCTCTCTTGTGGTGACTACACATCTTAAAATATTATCAAATTCTCATTTTCATTTTCAGTTGCTAAACCATTAGTTGTGGATGGGAGTGCAAAGTCACACGAATTGTGTCTTGCTTATGATGAATTGTCTCTTTCAAAGCTTGAACCTCCACTTGTTCTTCAAGAGTTTGTCAATCATGGTTTGTTAACTGATTCATAGGCCTTAATCTTTTTGTGTTCTGTTAACTTTTGTTTTTTTAAGTCTTTCTTTCCGTTCGGAGGTGGTGTGGGTTGCAGGTGGTCTTCTTTTTAAGATTTATATTGTCGGGGAAGCTATAAAGGTTGTGAGGCGTTTCTCTCTACCCAATGTTAGTAAAAATGAGCTATTGGATGTTGATGGTTTATTCCGATTTCCAAGAGTTTCATGTGCAGCAGCTTCTGCAGATGATGCTGATTTGGATCCAAATATTGCAGGTGAAATTCATGTTCTCTTCCCTCTCTAAAAATTATCAGAGGAAAATGAATACTACTTTTTTTAATAAGTATTTAATTACACAATCATCTATTAGCACAATAATTTGTATCTAACTAGTAGTCTCTTCTGCCAACTGTGAAACTGTTGTTGCAGAACATCCACCAAGACCTTTATTGGAGAGGCTTGCAAGGGACCTACGTTGCAAACTGGTATGCACTGTTATATTTTAGTTTCCCATAATCACTCCTCATATAAAGACAGACATTATACTAAAGCTAAACTGCACCACACCTAGGGACTCCGCTTGTTCAACATTGATATGATACGGGAACACGGGACAAAGGACGTATTTTATGTCATTGATATCAATTACTTTCCTGGCAAGTACAACTTATTTCCATTTATGTCATTGGTTTTATAGTATGTTAAAGGTTATGTCTTCTTTAGCAATTCAACCATTTCTTTTTTTCATTTCCGGGCATTGCGCACGTTGCTAAACTTCTGCGCCAAACTAACTTTGCAGGGTATGGAAAAATGCCAGAGTATGAGCACATATTTATCAATTTTCTACTTAGCCTTGGGAAGAATAAGTGTAAGAAGAAGGATGATACTTAAAGTAAGGGATGTGTATAGATTGATCCATTCAACATGCTATCCTTGGCTAGGCAGAGGTTTCTTGATAACCAGTAACATTCTAATTTCAACTTGTTTATTTTGTTTGTAATGTCACTAAAGCCTCATTAAAATGTGTTAAATGGGTTCTCAAAGCTTTCTGTTCTCTCCCTTTCTCACCTTCTCACTCACTCACTGATCATAAAGCCTTTGTTTCAACTTGTAAGTTATATGTTTATTAACATTAGTGGAGAACTTTAATTGCTGCAAAATAATTATGTGATTGTTAATTCCTTTCATGTGTTCAATCTATTATACTCTAAAGCAATTGGAAACAAGATTTCTCTGCAAGTTATTGTTCAATCTATTATATACTAAAAGTTTACATTTTTTAAAGCAATTGTCTTAGAGCAATAGTTCTCTCATGAAACACTGAATTAAAAGCTATATGTAGTGCTGCCATGTTTTCATAACAAAGTTTCATTTGTTGAGCATCTCTAAATTTATTTCATGATGTTTAATCCAAATGAGCTCACATGTGGCTACAAGCTCTTCCATCATATAAGATATCTTCCAATAGACACACAATACCTTAAAGTAGAAGTAGAATGCTTATCAATGGGTGAGCTTTCCTAATCTGCATCGCAAAATCCGACTATGAGTGTTTTTGTTGTCTTCATAAAACACTTTGTGTCTCAGGTTTCTTTTAATGTACCTCCGAATTTGAATTGCTGCGTCTCAATGATTCTTACGAGAAGATCACATGAATTGACTTATTACTCCAACCGCAAAAGAAATATTTTGCATTGTAATAGTAAGGTAGATGAGTATTATCGGCTCCCCTAGTAGGGTAGAAATTTCTGATTTGGACTCTTTGGATTATTTACTGGTTTATATTCTAACATACTAGTATATTTGAGTATATGTAACATCTAATTCTTTTTAATGATATAATCTCATTAAATGACTGAGCAACTTTAATTCCAAGAAAATAAATGTTTGTATCATTTGTTTGAAAAATGTCTAAATAAATGTTCTTTTAGATGAGAAAATTTTTCTTGATCATTTTTAGTGATGACTATATCATCTGCATAAATTATCAAATAAACAAATTTATTTCAAGAGACATGGTAATAAAAGAGCGAATGGTCTGTTTCACTAAGTTTTATTTAAAAAGCATGATGTTGAGGAATTTTTTAAACCAAGCTCATGAGGATTGTTTGTCTATAAAGAGAGCGTCATAGTTTGCAAACCAAGCTATACTCCTCCTAACTACAAATCCATGTGGTTGCTCCATATAAATCTTCTTTTCTAACTCACCATGGAGAAACACAATTTTAATATCCAACTAATATAATGGCTAATGACAGATGACAACTACGACAATAAATAATCGAAGAGACACTAGTTTAGTAATAAGAGAGAAAGTATCTCCATTATTAAGTCCATAAGGTTGAGAATAACCTTTTACTATAAGTCGGGCTTTAAGATGATCACTCTCTACATTAACCCAAACTTTAATAGAAAATACCCAAACATCCAATAGTTTATTTCTTGGAGGGATAAGAGATAATTCCCAAGCACCATTGTACTATAAAGCAATCATTTTATTAATCATAGCTTGTCGTGGATGATTAAATGCCTCAAAAACATTTTTAAAAATAAAACATTTTTAAAAATAGTAATAAAAGATATAAAAGATACAGAAGAATAATAAGGAGAAAGACAATGATAACATAGAAATTTATAAATAGGATGAGGATTGCAAGTAGACTGAGTAATTTTTCTAAGAGCAATGGGAAAGTCAAGATTTTCTTCAAATTTTCTAACAGGATCATCCATTGGTGGATGACATGGTTCAAATGGTGTTTCAACATCTTCCAATTCTCCATTAATAACACACGGACGACGTTGGTATACGATGGGTGAAACACATTTTATGGCCCTAGCAGAAAGTTTATCAAGACCTATAAAGAAGTTGTAGTGTCCTATTTGGCAAAGTCATAGATCAGAGCGTCCATCACTTAACAAATAAGTCGCCCAGACGCAGTCAAGTGAAATCGCCCACGCGGTCTGTTCAACATAAAAGTTAAGTAAGAAAAAGTCCTTGTTGACTCCAGTGATATAGTTAGACAACAAGCTTCCTAAACAGGGAAAACGGGCGAGACCACGTCGATGAAGCCATAAACCCCAACCCTGGAGAATCCTTTTAAATAGATTATGCCTCGAAGGGAAAATGGTCAAGTCATATTCACTACATGCCATCCAATACTACTCGGAGAGCACTTCGCTCCTAGTAACCCTAACTCGATAATTTAATCGTCCGCCTGCAATCTATCAGTGCTGGCCGCCGACAGGGCCTCTTACCTCACGTGAGCTGATCCCTTAAACAACCTCAAGAACCATCGTACATGGCTACTCACCATCGTGAGCTAGCCCTTATCCCATTTGTGTAATATACCTATTAGGGTCTCTGAGTCTACCTGCCCTTGTAGGAATAACACACACACGCCATGTACTTTTTTGACAATACAATGTCGTCCATCGTAGAGCCCGATAAAACTAACCTTGGACACACCTCCTTTTAACAAGTATCACTTTCACTGCCATACCATAATTTCCAGTACCTAGCTATTACCATTCATGGTGAACAGAAAAGCTCAATTCCATACTCCTGTGGGTACCAACGGTACAGGCGATGTCGACACCATGGCAGAGACGTGAGCCTCCATGAACGAATTATAACGCTACAACCAGACATTAGATGATGACTTACAAAACATCAAGCAGCTCCAACAGGAGGCCAATCCCCCCAAAAGAGACAGAACATCTAGATCCCCAGCCTCTCTTGGACGAAATATGGGAGTCCCTGTTCCTAAATGTCTCAAACTTTCATCCTTGGCCAAGTTTGATGGACGCAATGACCCTTACTAGGGAGGTTTCCCTTCGATTGTACATGGGTCTCCCCTGGGCCTCTATTAACAACTATTAGGAATTGGTGAAAAAGCCGGTGCACTAGTTCGCCGTCAGTCGCCACAAATAGATGTCTATCACCAACCTATTTAACATCCGTCATGGTCTATCAGAGTTGTCGAGGGACTATCTCGTCTGCTTCAACGGAGCCACAATCAAGGTAGTCCCTCAGAACCAACAGATGTTTGTAGGAGCGTTCCAGAACAAACTCAAGGAGGGACATTTTAATGAGTCCCTCGCCCAAAAATTGATGCTCTCGTTGGCAGAAGTAATTGCCAGAGCGGGATGTTACATCTAAGATGAAGAAATTAACGCTGAAAAAAGGAGGCTTGCAACGCCAAGGAGCATGTCACTGATGCTGAAAGCTCTCATCCTTCAAAGAAGAAAAACTACACCTCACCCGTGAAGGACAAATCTCTAATCAAGAGGGCAAGAAAGGCGATAGAGAAATTCACGCCTTTAAACACATGCGGAGACCAGATTTGGCGCGGGGTGCTTCACCTATGTAATATCCTAAGGCCACCTGCCCCCAGATCCGAGCCCAAAAGGTGGTGTAAATTTTATAGAGTCAAAAGACATCACATAATGACTGTTACTAGTTAAAGAAGGAAATAAAAAAGATGATACATGAGGAGCACATTAAGAAATATGTAAAGGGAGACCCCTCAAACAGGCGGAATGATGCAACATATAGGAACGAGAAGATAACAAAAGCCCAAGGCCGAGAAATGCCAAAGGAGCGTCTTGAGACGAAGGCGGGCAAAAGGTGCATCACACTGCCAACATCATATCCAGAGGATTTGTCGGGGCTAGGAGACCAGCTTTGCTCGCAAAAGGATCGCCTGTCAAGTCCTGAGTATGGAAAATCTCTCAGAGATCACAAATAGAAGGTTCTAGAAGCCATGTTTGTCTTCTCAGAAGATGATGTGTCTGACGTCCATCCTCACAACGATGATCCCATGGTTATCGCCAACATATACTAAGAATGGGAGATCAAAAGGGTCCTACATGACCATGGAAGCTCGGCTGATATACTCTACTGTGATGCCTTCAAGAGATTACGCCTTGACCCCGAGATATGAAGCCCTTCCGGGGATCATGGTAGGATTCTCTGGAGAATAGGTACACGTGAAAAGTTACCTCACCATCTGAATCACGTTCGAAAAACAAGACCACACAAAAGAATTAAAGGTTAAGTACTTAGTCATTGATGCACATTCTTCATATAATATGATTATTGGGCGACTAGCTTTTAACTGGATTAGAGTCTCTTTATCTACCCTGTATTTATGCATGAAATACCCGCTCCCTAATGGGCGAGTTGAAGTGGTTCGAGGAGATAAAAAAATGCTATGCAGAAATCCTCAAATTAAGGAGAACAAACCATTTAGGCGTAAGGGTAAAAAAGGCCAACTCTGGGATTACTCTGCTTAAAGAAGCAGGCAAGGACAATGAAGCTTTCCACCCATCCCCGCCATGCGACGAGGTCTGAGATTAAGATGAAAACCTTTCTCCTCAAAACTGTTGCACTGACATTCTATTTCTGTTATTCATGTAGTTGCTTTATCTTCTGTTATATTTAAGACATGAAGAGTCTAAAACTCCCACATCCCTACAAATCTTGTGGAAGGATTCCGATGACAATGGTTTTGTAAAAATGTCAGCAAGATGACTTATAGTGTCAACGTACTCAAAAATAACATCTCTCTTTTCCACATGATCTCTTATGAAATGGTGTCAGATCTCAATGTGTTTGGTCTACGAATGTAGCACCAGATTTTTAGTAAGACTTATAACACTAGTACTACCACACTTAATAGGAACACAATCAAGTTTTAAATCATAGTCCAATAATTGTTGTTTTATCCATAAGACTTGTGCTCAACAACTATCGACAACTACATATTCAGCTTAAGCGGTAGAAAGAGTAAATATATGTTGCTTCTTATAATGCCAAAAAACTAAACAACTTCCAAATAAGTGACAGATACCACTAGTACCATTCCTTTCCGACTTGCACTCTGCGAAAT